TAAAACACAAGCCTTTCTGCCTTTATTTCATGAACTTTAAAAGGCAGAATACAATAAAACACTAGCATTTGGGACAGCCAGTTAGTTAAGGTGCTAATCGTCTGGCCCAACTTCATCATCATTTGTTTCGTTGTTGTGTAAAGACTATTGAAAGCTATGTCAGTATGGGAGTTCAGGAAACTCATGCTGCAGGTTTCTGAGATACTGAGAAGAAAGAGTCCGACAAACAGCCGGAAGCAACAAACTAAATCTCAGCTCCTGGTAACATTTTGAGGTCTGTGTACGCTTCCGTCAACTAAAAGCATAAACGCTGCTCTTTGTGCTCTCTGTGATGTTCATACCAACACAATCAGCTGATTTTCCTTTCACCGTAACTCAATGCATTTACTAAGACTTCAGAGTTTCAGTGACCTTTCAGATGTTGGGGAGGCAAGACTTCAGCTGTAGCCTTGGAGGCGCCTCTGCTTTCACCCACATCTTACACGAGTGAAGCTTTCATGTGTACATGTGTGTGTTTATGTACAAGGTGCGTCAGAAAAATTCCAGCACTGCTGTCACAAAAGATATGTTTCAAACCCAAACTGCAAACTACCAGCTTTCTCCTTCCAAGTAATCCCCCTGGTGTCTAACACACCTCCCCAGCCTTCTCTGCCTTCACGCCGCCATGCACTCCTGGAAGGATTCTTCTCAACCAGAAACTGCGGGATGCTCAGGGTGATGTGAGCAGGCACGTTGTCATGGTGAAGCAGCCACCACTGGTCCTGCAACAACTCTGCCTCTTCTGAAGGAAGCAAACAGGATCTCTTTGTAGACGTGCTGGTTGATCATCTGAAGGGGAAACTCCTAGTTTGTAGTTTGAGTTTGAAATACATCTTCTGTGACACCAGTCCTGGAACTTTTCTAACACATCTCGTATCTCTGGTATCATCCAGGATAGAAAAGGACAAAGCCCCTCCAAGTCCTCTACTCACTATCGACTACAACGGCACAGTGTTTGTTCAGAACGACCAGGTGCTGGTGAGCACCTGCAGGATGCACGTCTACAAATTCCCCTTTGACACTCAGAGCTGCACCCTGTCCTTCAAATCTGTCGTTCACTCCGGTGAGTAAAAGTAATGTTTGTGAGTGAGTTTGTGTGCACTTATCATCACTTTTACAGTTTGACCACTTGCACACAATCCGGCTTCGTCTTATGTTTGTCTTCCTTTTCAGTCACAGAATTAAGACTTGTTCACCACTGGAGCTCTTCAGAAACAACGGAGTGGTCACGCGAGTTGATGCGGACTCAGTACGAGTGGCTGTTCTTAAACATGAAGGTCACCAACAAATCTGTGACTATGTTTGGCGCCGAACAAGACATGATCGTTTACACTGTAAGTAATTCAATTACTCAAGTGTTGTACTTAGGGGCTGCAAGGTGGCTTGGTGGTTAGCACCGTCGCCTCGCAGCTAGAAGATCCCCAGCTAGGACGCCCGGGATCTTTCTGCGTGGAGTTTGCATGTTCTCTCCAGGTTCCTCCCACGTTCCAAAACATGTTGACGTTAATTGGTGATTTAATTGGTGTGAATGTGAGTGTGCTTGGTTGTCTGTCTCTAAGTGTAGCCCTGCGTTGGCTGGTATAGGTTCCAGCCCCCTCCACGACCCCAGTGAGAATAAAGCGGTGTATAGATAATGGATGGATGGAAGTATTGTACTTAAAGAGTGGCTTAGCACCAGGCTGAAAGTCTGTGGGCCCCTTGAACCTCCTCTGACCTCCAACAGGTGCTTTTACTTGGTTGGAAGAGACAGAACATTTCTGCTTTTCTGGGACACAAACAGGCTCAATATTGGGTATATTAAGTTCGTACACAGGTTGCTCTGTTCATGACATTTGATATTTTACAGTAACAAGTCACAACTCCAGTGCTGTTTGGCTCATTGTCACACTGTCATGACTCATTATTTTATGAGTAACGTCTGCTCTGAAAAATAACTATTTGTCAAAATGCAGTGAGGAGCAACTGGAAGGGAACAAATTGTGCAGCAACACCTCCGCCGCTTTTGGCTTTTTCCAGGCCTGCATTGTTTCCAGCAACTTACACGGCATTGTGTCAAGCAGCACTTCATCCTCGTTCATCTCTGTAATCCTGGAGGACAGGGAGAAGGACAAAAAGGCCTCTAAAAAGTAAAAAAAAATGCTTTCACAAGACTAAACTTACTGACCCACTACTTTGCTTTGTTTTGTCATATTTGGCGAAACACTGCTTGTATAAGGTTGTGACATGCGGCAGACACCTGATGTTCTCTGCAGTTAGATGGAAAAAAAACATGCTCATATACCCCCAATATCGTGCATCCCTAGTGCGACATATTAATTCTGTCTGCATTAGCTGTAGCAGACGTGGTCACTGGCGCTCATCAGACATGCACTTTGCAGCATCTGTAACCTAATAGTAATATGATGGAGTATTCCTGTTGATCACTGCAGCACAGTGGGGCAAAAACAAGATGTTCAGGGCACATGAAGCTGCAATTTAAGTACCAATATCGCCATTTTAAATAACTTTTAACTTGAATATTGTTTAGTTCTGTAAAATTTAACTTACAGCTGCGGTCACTGAGGTCTCTCAATATAATGAAATATTGCCAGTATTAGTTCTTTCTTTGTTTTCTGAGCTACTTCTTTCTTTCCCCTTTCCCATATGATCTCTTTCCCTTACTGGGGTTACTTCAACTAATCTGAAAACTATCTGAAACTATCTCCACTACATAAATTACTTGATTTGCACCCAATGCTGTTTTACTTGTATGCATTTGGAGTGTGTATGCCGATTATCTGACACCTAAATATCTGACAGATCTCCATGAAGAGGAGGTCCCTCCTCTACGTTATCAACTTCTTGCTGCCTGTCTTCTTCTTCTTGTGTCTGGACTTGGCCTCCTTCCTGATCTCGGACAAAGGCGGCGAGAAGCTCAGCTTCAAGGTGACGGTGCTGCTCGCCGTCACAGTGATGCAGCTTATTCTCAATGAAATCCTGCCTTCCTCGTCAAACAGGATCCCTCTCATAGGTAAAAACAACACAAGGCCATGTTACACTGTACAGGTTTTGGCTGTTTGAGAACAAAGTCGGAAGTTAACATTTGTTGGGAGAAAAGTGGTGAAATGCTGAATCACGAATCTAAAGTAATGCTTTTAGATTGATTTACTGAAAACAGCCAATTTAGGACTACTACCAGCAAATCAGAGTGCAACGTGGAATGACTCAGAATGAAGTGACCAGCATGTCATTTGTTTTCTTTTTACCATTTTGGACTGCCAGCCGTAACGTTGTGTAGCTGGTCTTCACACTAGAAATGAACTAAACCAAGGTTTGGTTTTATCTGGACCATAACAGCCAATTAATGTCCTGCCAAGGTTCAACTGTTTGGACTGAACGCTTCACACCTTTAAGTTTGCATCAGAATAAACGTGAAAGTCCAAATCAATTGAATTAGGTCTGACAGGGACCTTTGGTGATTGCGCTAAAGGAAAACCTACATTAAGGGATCCCCAAAGTTAGAAGTTCATCCTGTAGTTATTGAGCCATTAAACTGAAAACCACTAATTCCAGTCTCTTGGTGTTGTCAGTGGGCTTCATCGAGTGGATGAATGTCTGACCAAATGGTGGCCCAAAGTCTTCTCTTTGTTGGACTGTAATTCACACAGGAGCAGCATATAGTGGCTGAATGTGTGACAATTTGTTAATATAATCACTATAATTCACTTTGTATTGACCTGTTCCCCTCAGTGGTCTACTGCATTGGGATTTTTGGTATGATGCTGCTCAGCCTCCTGGAGACAATCGTTGTGGTGTACCTGATGGAGAAAGACTCTGCATCCCAGAACAATGAGACAGACAGAGGCCAAAGCCTGAACAAAGTCTGTGGAGGCCAACGGGGCAAATCCAGCTTCTCCTGCTGTGAAGGAGGTAAAGCTTACTGTGGAAAAGCTGGTGCTGAGGTGTACTGTATGTTTATGTGGAATTCCCTAAAAACAAGGATGTCAGGGGGATTTTGAATGAGGTGTTCTTACCTCTTAAACAGAGTCTACAAGTTTTGGTTTCACTTTAGCTCTCTAGAACAGCTCGCATAGCCAAACGTAGCTGGGCAAGAAGTAGAAATGCAGATTAGTAGTGAGAACCCTTCTGGTCCCGTGAACCTCACCTTACAGGTTGTGATAGTTTATTGTTGTGACACTGAACTTACACTGCCTATAAAAGTTATTCACATCCTTTGAAGCTTTCCCCTTTCCCGCAATGACAAAGGGTCAGTGTGATTTGGCTTTACAAAAGTATTACAAAAACAAACTCGATATACTTTCTTATACTTTGCTGCATTCATTTTACCCTCTGCCTTTCCAAGCCAAGTTTTCCAGGTTTGCAGAGAAGCATGATGCTGCCACCACCGTGCTTCACAGTGGCGATGGTGTGTTTGTGATGATGTACAGCGTTTGGCGTTTGTCAAACAAAGCATCGAGTCTAATGGCCATAAAGATCAAGTTTGGTCTCATCAGACCAAAGAACCTTCCTCCAGTTGACTTCAGATTCACCCTCATTCCTTCTGGCCTTCTAGTTGAGACTTCACATTAGTGTTTTTTCTACAGTAGCCGTCTTTTTGTCCTCTGAATGCTCTCCTCATCTCCTTCTTAGCTGAAACAACTAAATTCCAACTTGATTTATGTTTCTCTAATTATTTCATGATGCTGATTGTCTTTCCAGAGGAGAAGAAATGGACTCCCTGTGGTTGCATCTGCGATGCGTCTGCTGATGAAACAACACCAGCTGAACTGCTAAAGGTTGGGCTTACGCTGCATTTTCATTAATTTTGCAAGTAAAACCGCACGTTGCATAAAATTAGTTCAACAACTGTGAGAAAGTTGAAAGCTGCCTTTTAAACCTGATGGTGAGTTTTGGAATTTAGATGGATAAGATGCTGGTCCAGACAAAACTTCATTATCCTCGCAATGTAGAAATAGCTCCGGTCAAGTGCAAACAAAAAAAACAGCTGACATGAGTTACAACTCAGAGGTAGCTGTTACGTCTCTCATCATGCTCAGTGAACTGTACAGAGAAATCTGAATGTCAGGTTTAGCAGCTTGTCATTATATTTGGTTCATAATCACTTTAGGTAACCACAGTCTTCTATCTCTCTTTTAGGAGAGAAGCAGCCAGCTGACCGAGGAGCCAAATGCTTTTGAAAAGGTCTCAGATGAGCTGAAGGATGTGGTGAAAACACTGATTCTGCTCCTCAGCAGCAGGAAGGAGGAAGAGAAGCCCGGCTACTGGACCAGAAAGACGGAAACCATCAACAAAGCTTACTTCATATTCTATATCACGGCTGCCAGCCTGTTTTTACTCTTCATGTTCTTCAACTGGAATCATGCATAAACATGAAAGTGCTCCATAAAGACGCACGAGTGAGATATACAGTAGTCAAGATTTATTGTTATGCAAAAACCCAAAACCAGGTCATAACCTGTGTTTAAATATGAAGCTGGCAGCACAAGCTTTTCATAGATCGTTAACATTTTCTGGCTATATTTAGATCTATAGGATGCTGTCAGTTCAGGGCTGCTGTGGCAGAATAAATAAAACTCCTGAGCTCCTCCATACATTAAAGGCCTGTATCAGTGACCACATGGACCAGTAATGTGATGCGTGCATTGATGCAGTGGTCAGTGTTGCTTGTGGTTATGAGTGTACGTTAACAGTGTGAGAAATATGTGTGTTTTAGAGTATTTATTATTTGTAGTTATGCAGCTTGGAATGAGGGGGAACGTGTGACTATGCTCACCCAAGTGAAGTCATTTTCTCCTTTAGTCATAATTGCCCAAATATTTGGTAACCTAAGGTGTGTTGTGTTTTGTTTTGTGAAATGTTTTTAGTTAATTTCAGCATTTTTGCACGACATGGGAACTGTTCAGATGTGTCTTCTTGATGGCATGTTTTACAAGCTGCTGCATGCACTAGTCCATCCTGCTTGTGTTAAAAAAAAATCAGCATGAAAGCAGAAGCAAACTTGTATCGTGTTCATTGAAGTGTAATGTCATAAAAATATGTCTGTTCAATAAACAGTGGTTTGGTGCATTAACTGGACTTTTTAAGGTGATCTTATCTTCATCTACAAACTTACACTACTGACCCCAAGAACTACTAAATAAACGTCCTCAGGCCGGTACAGTGCTGAGGGGAAACTTGAGGCCCATATTCCTCACAGAAACGCTTCGGCTCACGTATATTCTGAATGTTTCTGGTGTTAAAGGTTCTCCTAATGTCATTCTACAGCACCTATATTGGGTTAGGTTCTGAATGGGCTGCTTGAAATAGGTGGATTTTCTTTAAGCCATTCTGCAGCAGGTTTACTTCAACTTGTACTGACTTCTTCTTCTTTAGCTGGCAGACAGAAACCCAGACATTGTCCTGTGAGATCCTTTTATAAACTTGAATATTATATACAGTTTATATAGTTTTTGAATGTTACACTATCCCATCCTTGTTTACTTTTTTTCTGATATCGTTATGACCAGATTTTCACAGTTATTTAAAACTTTTTTTTGTTTCTTTTTAAATTACAGTAAACTTCACTTTCATGATGATGTGGGGATGTGAGTGCTGTGTGTTGTGGGTTTAGATTTTATTACCAAAGCAGGTGGCAAATGGACCTCTGTAAAAAGGCTTGCATTTGGTTTGTGTGCCCGTCAACACTCATCCCTCTCATAATGGCGTTTTTGTGGCCACAGTCACTTCATATTACTACATTTCTCTGAGCTGCATTGAAATTTAATGACTGATGAGGAAGACTGCCCGGCAGCACATAATGCTGACATGCTCACAGTGGCAGTTTTCACTTGAAAGGATCTTTTTTTTCATATTTTTTTGTCAAAGAAGCTAAATTATAAGATAAGATAAGATATGCCTTTATTTATTTAACAGAGGAGAAATTCACAGTGTTGTCAGCAGCAGTACACATAGAGATACACACATACTAGAAAGAAAAATGTACATGTAAGAAATAGTGCAAACAGAAGTATAAAAATACACATGCAAAAAAAGAATAGTGCAAGCACAGAATACAAAAATGAGGATATGAAAGATAGAAAAAATAAAGATAGAAGAAGAAGAAACAGTGCAAATGCAAATGCATACATACATGTCATGGAAATATTAGATCGACCATAATTCAATGTAGGAAACAATAAAAGCACTGGACAGTGCTAAAAAGGACAACATAATTTTGCATTGTCCCTCCTTTTTTGAGGCATGTTGTGCATTTTATATAAAAACAGAATTAAGTAAATTTTATTTGCACCCTGCAGTAAGAGTCGTCCTTAAATTTATTTATACCTTGCCATTAAAGAAGGAAAAAAACAGCTGATAAGCAAATAAGTGAAAAAATTGACAAAAGTAATAATAAAAAAAAAATGTAATGATTTTTTTTATTGTTCTTTTCAGCCACAATTCAAAAGCAACGTATTATTTCACTAAGTTATAATTTATCAAATTTTTATTTATTATTACTTTTTTTTGTTTAGTTTCTAGTTATTTGAGTGATTATTGTGAATTTTGTCTTTTCTTTAATGAACACGTCAGAGGACGACTTTGTGCGCTGCGCCCTCCGCTGCTGCAGGGGGCGCTGTTCGCCGCAGCGTGTCCGCTCTGTCGCTCAATCAGTGACGTGGATTTTCATTGAGGCAGTCAGTGCTGCCAAAAACACACAAACTCTGCTGCGTCCCTCAGCTTCTCCAACAACTTTTTCGCCTTTCCAAGCTGGACCGCTGCTTTTCCGTCACTTGAACGCAGCTTCCGTAACAGGTGAGCGGCTGCTGGTCTTCCTGTCGCTGCTCGTCCAAAGTATCTGCAAGGACCGGAGGGGAGAGAACTGTTGAAACTGGTTGAAAATGTCCTTCGTGTGAGTGTTTTTCTTTGTCACAGCCGCTCTGACTTGTGTTCACAGACTCCAGGATGAGTAAAAACAGCAAAGTGCTGAACCTGAAGGATAAAGTGAGCGGGAACGAGGCGGACCTGAGCTTGTGTAACCTGACGGAGGTGCCCGTCAGAGAGCTGGTGAGTTCACGTGCTGTCTGTCACATCACACACTGAAGGGGTTAGAATAGAGCACCGTGATTTCACACTGGACTGTGGTTCTTGGTTTGAATTCTAAACGAAAATATACAGCAGCATGGATATGATCCTTTTTGCTGGCTTCAAAGAAACAAGTGGGAAGTCTGATTTGTTCTGTAGATGTTCAGAAAATGGTCATTTATAGCAAATTGTGTATGAAAAGCTTTTGAGCTGGTGGCAAAAACAGAAAGCAAAAGTTCATCCACAGCCTGGTCAGGTGTGGCTTTAAAGGACAGAGATGAGATAACGTGACCAGCGGCTATAAAAGGCCACTTTACAATACATCCATCATCTCTACACCTTTAACCCTCACTAGGGGGGCTGGAGTCTATCCCAGCTGACTCAGGGTGAAGGCAGGTTCACCTGGACAGGTAACCAGTCCATCACAGGGATAATAAATAAATAAAAATGTGGATTGTGCTTAAATAAATGAAACCTTAATTCACAAAACTAATATATGTTTTTCTTGGGCGCTGACTAACGAGGATGAACCCTGAACTGTCACCAGACATTCATGGTTCCCAGAGGATGGATCCTAGTGACTTTTGCGATAGTTTCTCCTCGTGCCACCGTGAGGCTTACATTTGGCAGTTTTTATGTCTCGACAACTATTAGAAGCATCGCCTTAAAACCTGGTTCAGACATTCGTGTTCAGGATCAGATCAAGTTTATTGTGTCACATGTTTTAAAACGAAACTGAGTCGACCAAAGAGCTGTAAATGTCACGGGAAAGGCAAAGATGGAAAATGTCCAATGAGAAGATGAAAACAGGACATAAAGCTGAAAATCAGTGGATATAAGATGATAAGAAAAACAAAACAAGTCAAGGATAACAACTTCCATCCATCCATCATCTCTCCACCTTAATCCTCACTAGGGGGGCTGGAGTCTGTCCCAGCTGACTCAGGGTGAAGGCAGGTTCACCTGGACAGGTAACCAGTCTATCACAGGGCTACACTTAGAGACAGACAACCAAGCACACTCACATTCACACCTGCAGACAATTTAGAATCACCAATTAACCTCAACATGTTTCTGGACTGTGGGAGGAAGCCGAAGAACCCGGAGAGAACCCACGCTGCACGGGGAGAACATGGAGACTCCACGCAGAAAGATCCCGGGTGTCCTCACCGGGATGCGAACTGACGACCTTCTAGCTGCGAGGCGACGGTGCTAACCACCAGCCCACTGTGAAATACAACTTTATTTAAATACCACAGAAGATGAGAAACGCTGTCGGCATGCTGGAGCTGCAGCGGAAAAGTCTACGACTTAATAAATCATTTCAGACGGTTCTCCCCCTAAAAACATCTGTCAGCTTCACCGAGCCGTTCAGAAACAGCTGGACAACGTTCCACGAGCAGCATTGACGACATTATTAATCCTAAACGCTGTATTGAATTGTGATTTCTACTCTTATGACCCCCTCTCTCCTATTGTTTCTATTATAGGATGTTGTCTCATGACGTCCATTCTGTTGTCGTGTTGGAACAATTGATGCTTATTTCTTTATGTTTAAAAAAGATAATAAAAGGATGGGTTTTTATTTACTTTTACCTTGTTTCTTTTTTTTTTTGTTCGTTTTTTTTATTTCCGGTTCAACTTGCTTTTTTTTCCTCCTCCAACAGGCTCTATTCCCCAAAGCGACTGTCCTGGACTTGTCCTGTAACAACATCATCTCTCTTCCTGTGAGTATTAAACACACGAGTCACAAGCAGACGATGAGCGTTCTGAACTAAAACATGTTATTTTATTCAGTTAAAGTCCTTCACATTTAATCCTTAAGATCTAAGAAGGTTAAATGTTTAGCAAATTCATTCATAAGCTAATTAGCGAAGGCGCTAACGATCAATACATTTTTCTTTTCACTGGAAACATCCCGACACCTTCAGTTTCAATCAGCTGATTTATAATTTAATGACACCCTGAATTTTTCATTATCTTGGAAACTAAACAGTTAAAAAATTTTTTTTTTTCCTCTTCTGGGGATGTTTTCGCTCTTCCTCTGAGTATTAAACAACCAAGTCTTCAGCAGTTTTATTCAGGTAAAGTCCTTCACATTTAAACCTGAACAAGATTGATTGTCTGTGAAGGTTTAAATGGTGGATTTTTTTAGCAAACTCATTCATGAATTGATTAATGGAGGCACTAGTGATTAATGCACGTATAAATAAGTTTATGACGTCATTATACTGAGAACTAAAGAGTTAAACAGTTTTTTATTCCTCTGTCGATATGGCACAACGTTGGATCATTTATGCTTGTATTCCAAGATGTTCTCAGTCCAGTAATTCTGCTGTTTCTGCTTGTTTCTTAACCCCCTGTAATGTGGAGCAGCTTTAAACTCCCTGCAGGCTTTACATCAGACTAACAATATTAAGATTGATGTGTGTCTCTCTGGCTGAGGTTCTTTCTTTCTTTCTTTCGTCCATGCAGCCAGAGTTCTGCAGTCTGACCCACTTGGTGAAAGTGGATCTGAGTAAAAACCAGCTGACCTGTCTGCCAGACGACCTGGGGAACCTGGTCAGCCTCCAGCACCTGGACCTCTACAACAACAAGCTGACGGTGCTGCCTGTCAGCTTCTCTCAGCTCCGGGTGGGTCCACATTTTACACTAAATGTGCAGTTTCTATCCAAATTAAACCTTCAGTGTGTGTCGTATCGAGACTGAAACTGTCGAAGCTCTGATCAAAAGATTTGATGCAACAGAACAGACGTGAACAAACATGTTTATTGTTCACTAGTGTGGAATTTTTCTTTGGCTCACCAGAGAACACCTGATGTACAGTGTTAATGATACGTCTTTACATGAAGTGTGACTGAGGCGGTTTGTTTTCTTATCCTGTGTTTTGTGCTCAGAGTCTGAAGTGGTTGGATCTGAAGGATAACCCTCTGGAGGTCAACCTGGCCAAGGCAGCGGGAGACTGTCTGGATGAGAAGCAGTGCAAACAGTGCGCCTCCAAGGTGACTGACACGGAGATACAGCGATCCAGCAGAGAGTTCACCTAAAGTCTCCAAAACTAAAGCTGGTGTTTTTTTTTTTCAGGTCCTGCAGCACATGAGAGCTCTTCAGGACGAGGTCGATCGGGCGCGAGAGAAACGCCTCCTGAGGGAAAAAGGTGGGTGTCGGGAAACGGTGAAGTTTAATCCTGAGCAGCTACATCAGGACCAACAGATAGATGTTGGACGCTTTAGTGAAAATATGTTTGGAATTAAAAAGAGTCGGAGTCGTGATCTTGCTTTGTCACTCTTTGATCAGACAAACACTGATTGCAAAATGTATTCAGGAGGCTATTCTGGTAGATTAATCGTAGCAACTGCTTGGGTTCCTTGAAGACGTTCCACCTTCATCCAAGAGGCTTCATCAGCTCTGACTGACTAGTTGGGAGTTCCAGACACTGATATCCTTAAGGAGCCTTTAACACCTGAGTTTTGGATTCAATTTGGGGTTTGTTGCTCCTCCCCCTTGTTATGTGAATCGTAACTGCTGTCCCCTGACACAAAGGGGTTCATTAGGGTCTTCTGTGGCTAGGTGTTAATGTGGTTTCATCTTCCTGGGGAGAGATCTTAGGACTGAGTTGTAAATAGGTGAGAGGTGATGCCTCAGACCTCCACCTCTGTTGAGGGATGGTCTTTCCAGTTAGATGGCTTCTTTCACTCCTCTCTCAAACCATCTGTCCTCCCTGCAGGCCAACATCTGTACGTTGTTTTCTTTGAATGAGTGTCCTTAAGATGCAGGTGGACTGCTGAGTCCTGTTCTGAGGAGGAGGCTCCTCTGGGCTGAGCCATGAGGATATCAGTATGTGGAACTCCCAACTAGTCAGTCAGAACTGATGAAGCCTCTTGGATGAGAGGTCTTCAAGGAACTCAAGCAAGTCTAGCTGCTGTGATTAATCTACCAGAACAACCACGACCTGGATGACTGAGAATCTTCAGACATATTTAGGAGGTGTTCTTGAGAACTCTACAAGAAGTGTTTGTAAAGCACATGTAACTCAGAATCATACTTCCTGTAGCGTTTCACTGCTTCACTGAGTTATGACGGAGCTGCTTTATGTTCAGCTTTCTAGTTATTTCCAGTGGTTTCCCTTTAAAGTGTCAGAGAAACTGTCTGAGGGTCGTGTGATGGTTGATGTGGGAGGAAAGAAGAACTCGTGCTCATGTCATAACCTTCCTCCAGTCTTTTGTAAAATATTGTGAAATTTCACTTTTCCATTATTTAATTATAAGCATTTAAATAGAATGACGCCAGACGTGCTTTCTTTGATGGAACTAAGAGGCTCACATCGTTTTTTACTTCCTAGTAGGATGTTTTATATATTTTTTCACACAAGTTTTTTCACAATTAAAACATCTAAGTTTGAGACTCTTAGAGGTCAGTTGATATTTGCAGGGACAAAGGAGCACAATGGGCTTATAGAGAGTGGAAAACAGAAGTTGTCCAGTTGGCGTCTACTTTTGTTGATGCTCTACCACAACAACAGAATGTAATTATGACTCATCACCGTTAAAATGAGAGTTTTCTTTAAAGCTCACAATAATCTTGGGCTTTGTTTTTCACTCTGCATTGCTTTAAAAACCACCGTACACGACAGAAGAATGACTCACAGTGTCATCATCATCAAAGCCAATACACTGTGTTTTATTTATGGAGCCAAACCGGGAAGAAAAGCTTCCGGAAACACAATCAATTACTGTCCTTTTTATGTATGAACACTGCTGTGATCACGTTTCCTTCCTCCTTGAACAGAGCTGGAGAAGAAGAGGGAGGCCAAGCAGAGGGAGCGGGAGGCCCGAGAGAAGGAGGCTCGCAAACGGGAGAAGGCCGAGGAGAAGGAGAAGAGGAGGAAAGAGTACAACGCTCAGATGGCGGCTTTGGCTGCGCAGGAGCATCAGAAGAAGAAGAGCGAGGAGAAGAAGAAGAAGAACGGGCAGGCGGCAGGTGGGTTCAAAGGCTGGACGTCTTAAAGACTGGCTTGTGTTATTCGTGGTTCTGTGTTACACATTTTGATTTGATCCCTACAGATAAGAAGGCTGTGGTGGAATCGGCGCCCAAACCTCGGCGCTCTCTAATTGGCCCGTTGTTCAAGCTCCTCCTCCTGCTGCTGCTGGGATTGGCCGGAGTCGCCGCCGCCTGCCGGATGACCGACCTGCAGAGAGAAGCCATCTGCGTGTCCGTAAACGTCGCCGTGGACGACGGCCTGTCCTGGGCCAGACAGCAGGAGGTGGTGGTCCGACAGCTGGTGCAAAATCTGTCGTCTGCTGCGAAAGAGTTTCTCGAATCCACGCAACCGTCCAAGAGCTAAGTCTGCCTCCGCGGACGACTCGGAGCTGCAGGTTTTCCACTCTCACCTGTTGAATCCTGGGAGTTGAAAAGTCTGTGCAGCAGATGGACGAATGGGGGTGGACAGATGTGTGAAAATCATCTTAAATTCCTATGGAATTGTTGTCGCTCTTGTACCCTCTTTGTACTACAGCCTGTTTTTAAAAAAGAAAAAAAAGAATCTGTCGACCGTGTTCTGCACTGTGGTGTCTTACATGTGCGTTACAGGGTGGATGTGGAGCGTCAGGTCTGTGCTGCACATCGAGTCACATGTCGGCTGCATCCGTCAGTGTTAGATGTGGCAGTCTGAGCATGTGCAGTGAAGGCTGTGTGAATGTGAAGCCCCTCAGTCTGATTTCAGTCTAATACTCACTGTCCGGACGCAAACTAGAGCCCAACTGATATGAGTGGATTTTATCTCCCTGCAGTTGCGAGACATTTTATTACACAAATGCCAAAGATACTTGACATAAATTACGTTGCATCGATTGTCAACCAGAAAGCAAAATGTCGTGCTCAGAACATCACGTTTCATGCTCACAACTCTTCAGATTTAAAAGACGCTCACACAGGGCTGTTATTTAATCATCGGTCCACTGGATTAATCTGCTTTTTATTCTCTTGATTAATCATTTAATCCAATTTGCTCCATGTGATGTCTTCCAGTTCCAAAGATAATTAGTTTATGAGGATTTATGACAAAGAAAAGCAATTTTTTTTTGCAAGAAAGTTCATCAAACATCGCTCGTCTGATCATCAGCGTTTAAAATCCTGTATCAGTCTGGCTCTAATGCACACCAACCTCAGTACATGATATTACCAGGACCATACGGATCATTTTGCATGTGTCAACCCTTCTGCTGTGTACATCTGATCAGTTTGCAAATGTTGCTGCTGTGCATGAAGCAGTTGGATGTGTTCTTACAGCTTTCCAACTGTCACTGGTTTTGATTCCGTTCCTGAGGAGGAATTAGCCGACTGAGTCAAGTTTCATTACAGATAAACTTTGATCAGATTCAGAGTTTAGCATTACATATCTTGACAACGTTTCAAGGAAAAATACAAAAACACGGCAGCAAAATTTCCCAAATTGTGAGCTGATATGAAGTACACACGTTTTGTTGTTCAGGGGATCTTACTTACAGATGTAGGGTGTGGTATCGACCCACAATCCCTCAATCTTCTGGTGCATCAGGACCAGATGTTGATGTTGAACTGACGGTCCAGAGTCTGAAATGCCTTTCTCCTTGCAACCTGTTTTGTTCAGAGTCTGCCTTCGCTGCACTGGGTCTTGTACAGCTTCGTCCGTGCTCAAACATCGTCAGCATCATTAAATGGCTATGCACTGCAACGGATATCTGACTGCTGTCTTTGTGTAACAGAAGAATACACCTCGTTCTCTCCATCAGCTAGGACTAGTTCTGTCTTGAATGTGCAACAAAAAAAAAGAACAACAAAACAAAACAGGATTTTACATTTTAATTGTAGTTTAAATCCAGATGTAACTGACTGAGGAATAAGTAAAAACAAGAGGTTCAGTGTCTGAACTCAGTGAGGCTGCACAGTGGTCTTACTTTAGGCTAAATGCTAACCATCGGCATGCTAAGATGCTCACAGTTAAGGTGCAAACATGTTGATTATTTGCGTGCTAACATTTGCTAATTAGCCCTTAAACAGTTGAGGCAAATGGGAAAACCAAAGGTACTTAGTCATTTAAGCTGAGTATGTTAGCATCCTACCATGCCAGTGTTTACTATATTTACCATGTTAGCATGCTAACATTTGCTAATTAGCCCTTAAACAGTTGAGGCAAATGGTAATATCAAAGGTACTTAGTCATTTAAGCTGAGCATTTATGTTAGCATCTTGACATGCCAGTGTTTACCATGATGTGTACCATGTTAGCATGCTAACATTTGATAACAAATGAGCAATTGAGGCTAATGGTTTTAGTCATTTAAATGTTTGTTAACATGCTAATGCAGATGTTTGCTTCAATGTTTACCCTGCTAGTACACAAACAGTTGCTAATTAGCGCTAAACAAATTACAATTTAAGTTGATGGCAATATTACAGGATTTAGTCATTTAAACAAAACGCTTATGTTAGCATGCTAACATTTAGTAGAATGTTCACCATGTTAGCTTTCTGACATTTTGCTAACTGGCACCAAACACAAACTACAGTGGACACTGATGGGGATATTTTAAGGATTAAGTCATTTAGGCTACATGCTAACGTTATATCTAATATAGTCTAATATCTTACAATTAAGGAAGGCAAACTGAAAGTCATTCTAAGAAAAAAAAATCGTAGCTGCTCTAAAGCTTTAATCCAGAACTTTAGCTGGATTATAATTGCGAAAGTGGCAAAATGTATTTGTTCTGCTTTCAAAGCTTGACGGACACATTTATTTTCATTTAAAGGAATTAGCACTGTAAGAGTCGTGCTGCACAGCAAAAACGCAGATGGCCAGAAATTGCAAATAAATCAATTTGTGTGATGGATGATTCCCATTTTCTTATTATTGCCAATACCACAGACATTACTGTGTGTTTGAGGAGTGAAACATAAAACCATGAACCAACTAATACGTCTGTAAGCAAGCTGCCGCATTAGGCTGATGACACTTTCGCCCTAATATCTGCTGCAGCTGGAAAACTTGAACTTGGAGCAGAGAGAAGATGAATCAAGGATAAGCAAAGTCAGACAAATAGTCAGGCCTCTGTGATGGTTCAGTGAAGTTTGGGTAACCGCAACACAAAAAAAAAATCTCCTGACTTTACCCAAACCAGTGGAGGCAGATGGCTGCCCTCCCTCAGCCTGGTTCTGCTGGATTTTTCTTTTTCTTTAAAGGGAACAGCTTATTCAAAGGGTTTTATGAGTTTGTTTTTATATTATGATAAAATCCTTATGTAGCTATGTGAAGTGCCGCGACATGATTTATGTTGTGAATTGGAAACGGATGAACACAAGTGAATTGAATTTCAGAACAGCAAGAGGCTGAAAAATGGTGAATCATAGCCAATATTGTAAAGTTTTCCTACCTGTGAATCTGAAGCCAACTTTAGCTTTGTAGCGGAGACCATGTTCAGCCTCTTAGTTAACATCCAAAGTCCAGCTGAGGCTGAAGCACATGTCATTTAGTCATCAAAACCAGACAAATTATAGGTCTGGATGTGTGAGGTTTGGCATTTTTAAGCTAAATTCTAACCAGATTTAATTTAATCCAACGTTTGTTGAGATATTTCTGTTGAAACCATGTGCGAACGTCATCGTGGTGCTTGAGGAAAAGTTAGGGGAACACCAACGCTGGGAGGATTCAGTTGCATGAAATCTCATCCAGATGTTGTTTAGTTACTCTAATCTGGCCCGTATGCAATCTGTCTGGACCACAAAAAAAGAAGTGAACTGATACATAAACTGCTGAATTATTTATGCACTAACCAAACATAAAGTCTCTTGACAAGTAATGTATTTCAATGTGAACATTTTCAAACTCCTCTGTGCTTCCTATCTTTGACTGATGTACATTTTTTTTGGTCTGGCATATTTCTAGGATATTGTTGACAACAAGTAAATCTTTTTTTAATCTGAAAAGCATTCATAGGAGATGGAAGATTTCCTGCAGTTTCTCTTTCAGGTGAAATGCAGCTATGATAACCTCAATTAAATTCTTTTCCCCTACTTTCCTTTCTCTCTCTCACTAACACGTTCCAATAAA